AAAGCTGAAACTAGCAGAAATAAGCTGAAAGGAGCAAAACAAGTTGACATTAGCATAAACAATTTAATTAGGCTGAAAGTAGCAGAAATTACCATGGAAATTTTGAATTTACCTGAAAACAGCTGAAATTAGCTAAAAAATGCTTTAAAAAAAAAACTAGCTGAAAAGGTAGAACAAGCTTATTTTAGTAGAAGAAAACAGAAATAGTACAATTGCCCAAGTAAGCTAAAAAAGCAGAAATGAGCTAAAAAAAAGGAGGATATTATCTGAAATCAGCTGAAATTAGCACAAAAACAGCTGAAAAGTAGCTAAAATAGCTGTAAGAAGCTTAAATTAGCAGAAGGAAGTGGAGAGAGCACATTTTTGCTGAATTAGGCTGAAAAAAGTTGAAATGAGTGCAAACAATGTGGAATTAGCTGAAAAAGCTAAAATTAGCATAGAACAGCTAAATACTAGCTGAAATAGTAGAAAAATCAGAAACTTGTAGAAATAAGCTGAACGTTGCATGACAAGCTGAATAGCAGAAAGAAGTTAGAAGAAGCACAAACATGTTGTAGTTAACAGAAAGAATCTGATAAAAGCACAAAACAGCTGAAAAAGCAACTAAAACTTGCTGAAAAAAGTTAAAATTTGCACAAGGAAGCTGAAAGAAGCTGAACTAGAAGAATATGTGAAAGGAGCAGTAAAAGGTTGTAAACGGATCTAAAAAGTTGAAGGATGTAAAATGAGCTCAATTCATTTCCTATGAGAAAAAAGTGTCTGAAAAGGCTATATACTCCAAAAAGCTGAAGTTACACCAATACCAAAAGTCATAGCACCCTTCTCCTGAATGAGCTGAACGTTTTGATATATGATTTGTTGAAGTAGCAGATGCCGAAAAATGGCTCTCAATAGTGTGAATGCTTCATAAACGTTTACACTATTGTATTAAATGTTTAATCTGAAAAACATTGATCAAAAAGGTTCAAACGTTTGTTCTGTTGGCATCGTTCGCTCAGAGGGGACACTGTGTCAAATACTGAGCGGCTGACTTTAGCTTGATGTAGGATTCAACACTGAATGAATCTGTGCCTGGTGCAAAGTGGAGATTTGTGTACCTCTTTAAAACTTCCTCTGAAACATAATCTGAAATCAGCGGCCCTGAATCTGTTTCCTGTAAACTTTCCTAGCGATCATTGAATGACAGACGAGGTCCGCTCTCAGCAGGTCAGCGTCGCAACTTTAGGTGGATTGAACCCAGGAATGCAAACTTCCACAAGTAGCTCGAACGAAATTGAGTTTTATCTTCAAACTAAACAAAATCTGTAGAGGCAGCAAAAACTTACAAAGAGACCTAGTTAGAGGGAGACACGAGATTTAAGTGGGAAGAAGAGACAACTGGGCATGGCGTTTAACATTTAATGTTCCACTGAAGAGCAACTATATAGACTGGGGCTAATGAGAGAAGTGGCTGCAGCTGTGGCAGGTGAGACAGAGAGCAGGTGGAGATGGGCGTGGCAGGCTGACTGGAAGTGATTAAAGCTGACTGCTTGGACAGAGAAGCACAGAACAAGCTGACTTGATTACCTGAAAGAGAAAATAAAACTTTCAATTAACACAAAAAGATTATTAAAAAAATAAAAAAATCCTGGCGACCAGTCCATCACAGAGAGGTGAACAGGACAACCACTTACACACACTCACACCTGGTGGCAAATTACAGCAGCATGCATGTTTTTAGACTGTGGGTGGAAACTGGAGAAAACCCTCACCTGCACAGGGAGAACATCAAACTCCACACAGGAAGGCCACAGCTTGGAGTCCCAACCTTTGGCCTTCCTGTTGTGAGGTCACTGTGGTAATGAACTGTACCACCGTACAGCCGCGTGTCGGAGGACTTGACTAATCAAGTTGTTAACTTGAGAAGTTCTGACCGGAGCGTTGTTCGAGCCGAGGACCAGAGAGGTCATCAGCACACGGTTCAAAACCCAGAAATCTCAACCGTCTGATGAACTGCTGCCCGTAGGCGTGAACAAATGTAGATTATCTTTGAATGATGCCAATATCTGGATATCAGGCCAGCCAATGCTGTCTTTTGTTGTCATCAGTGTCTCTGTTGTTTATGTATTTATTATAGCTCATGGACCCCCGGGGGTCAGGAACTCCAGTTTGAGAACCAGTTAAACAACTACTGTCTTAACCTGCAAAGACCCGAACTCTTGCATATGTGAATACCAGGACCTAGGAGGTTAAAAAGTTGCCAGATATGCTAAACAGCGTATTGTACAGTTGCTTTACATTTGATGTGTATGTGTGTGTGTGTGTGTTGGGAGAGGGGGGTTAGGGAGGTGAAATGCCAAAACTATTGTATATTTGAGCTTTTTAAAATCCATTGAATATTGTAAATATCTCAAAACTATTACAATAATTATTGTGTATCTGGCAACGCTGTTGTCATATAGCCGGTGCTTGGGGGTCCACAAACAAAAAATTATTATTATTTTTTTAACAAGCACGTACAGTAGATATTTAACAACCTGTTAAAATACACCAAAATGCAGGAAATCACATCTACTTTGTTCAAAATTTTCTGGGGGAGTACCCCCAAACACTCCAGTCCCACCAGCCTGCTCGCTATTTGCGTTCCGGCATCGACCCGTTTTTAAATTAAGCCCTGTTACTTGGTGTGACTCCTGCTGTTGTGATTCTGTTCATTTAAGTTTTTTGTAATAATTAGAAGAAGTGTTGATACATTTATTATGTTCATTGTGAGAATAGTTAAAAGTTGTAAAGTAGTTTTTGATGCTGTTCATTTTCTCAAAACTTGTAAGTTTTGGACGTTGAAATTAAAAATGTTGTTAATTAAATGTGTCTTGAAAGAAAAACGCCTAAAAGTATAAAAATTGTCTTAACACTATTAAAGAACAGGTCTTAAAGTATTTGTTACACACATATTTCCATTGCATTAAAGAGACAAATTAAAGAAAATTATTTAATGAACATGAGGGTTATGAGGGGGTCCCTGAAATTTTTCTCCCCTGTAAGGGGTCGTGAACCCAGAAAGTTTGAGAACCCCTAAGATATAACATGTACACTTAAAAATAACATATAGAGGAGCATCCTTGCTTAAAAACAAAACACTGTGTGCCACAGTAAACTGGGTGCAGCAGCTGCAGCTTCATTTTCCTACAATAAATAAAGTTTTTCAGCAACAGATGATGTCATCCATGACATTTTTTTTTAATTACTTTCACATCTTTGATATTTCAGGCAGTGAAAGAGTCCAGGAGCTAAAACCACCTGCCTACAGTGCATACATGAAACATTTGATGCTTTACAAATTAAAATATAAGCAATAAGACTCTAATCTAATGAAGTTTTTTTTGAAAGAGTGGAAAAACTTTTCGCTTTTAAAGCTAAAATCGTTGCCTGTTTCAGTTCTGAAATCATAAAATGTTATAAAACCAACACGTTTTAAACCTCTTTAATGTTTTTCATTATTTCTGGTCATAAATAGAAAAGAAAAATGCGTTTGGAAAAGATTTAACTTCTCTTCTCACAGTAGTTACAAATATTTTAAAATGTTTTATTGCTTTTAATCTGTTTGTGCAAGAAGCTTTAAAGGTTTATGGTGGAAACAGAGCGGTATTATTGCGATTATTTCAGCTACACCGAGACACAATCTGTCTCTCTGGTTACCAAAAAAGACACAAAATAGGAAAGATAAAACTAATTTTATCTCTCACCAACCTGTGTGCACACACATCAGGAGATGCAGGGTTTGATTGGATTGGCCTGTGGCTGGAGATAACGTAGAGAAACCAAAATTCTTCTAACTGATTTTAACTCGAAGTCTTCTTTTTTTTTTTTTTTTTGGTTTATCACCCGTAAAGGAGAATTAGTTTAGTTTGCTTCTTTACGCTCTGTGGATTGTGATTAGCTGCATGGAAATGTAGTGAAGCAACAGAGTTGTGTGATTACTGAGTGTTTTCTAGGTGTGTGTGTGTGATTGTGTGCGTGAGCTGTGAAAGGTTGTGGGTCACGGTGGATTTCCTGTTGTTTGAGGTTGACAATCAGAAATAGCAAAAAAAGAAAAGGAGAAAAAAAAAAGCTCAGACCACCGATGTTCTTTCCACATATCCTGCATCTCTGGCAGAAAGTTCAGCTCACAGTTTAGCCACTTTTCTTTACTTTTCTGCTCAAAAGTTCATTTCAACTCAAACCGTCCAGACTGAACATTGAAAGGAGAATCGGTAAAAGCAGATATTGTAAACCTTGGGGTTAGTCAATCATCTCTTGTGCTGCGAGTCTTCCTCTTTTTTTTCTTCTTCTTCTTCACACTGTACTCTGCTTCCGCTCTCTGTTTATTTAATCTCAGCCCGTCAGTCCTCGCTCTTCAGGCAATCCCGGTGGCATCAGAGAAAGAGGGCACACACTGACACACTAACACACTCGAGAAACTTAATTTGACACAGTTATGCACGGAAACACAAAAAAATTTGTTCTGAATGTGAAGCAGCATCCCGGCGCAGACGAGAGGAGCTCGTCTCGCTGTGGGGAAAATCACGCCTTCTTTCTATGCATGTGAAGGATGCAGGAGATGATGCTACTAGATAACGGATTACGCCATCGTACTGCACGCTTGCAGATTTTACTAATACATTGAGGGCTAGACTGGACTAAGCTTTCTTATACATTTAGTCAGGGGTCTGCAATCTGCGGCTCTGGAGCCACATGCGGCTTTTCGGTCCCTCTGCAGCGGCTCTTTCGAGCTTTGACCAAAACTAAGATAAAACTGAATTTTATTGGTTGTTATAACAACTAAAAGGGCTAGTTTTAGCAGTTTTCCTGTAATTTATTTTGCAA